TGCTCGCGGAATTGTTCAATCGCGGTCAATATCGTATCGAGATGTGGAGATAATCGTGCGCGAGGGAACGGTAATACGAGGAAGTTATGTAGTATAGCGCGGACTAGCCCGCGGACGAGTCTGCGCCTCCTGGCGCACACAACGTGGCCTCGTAGAGAGTAGCGCAGCGGCTCTGACAGACTCGTTGGCGCGGAATAACGCGTTTACGGGGGCTCTTTGTCCGGTCTCGCTTTGGGCCTCGTCTCGTGCGAGCTGTACACACCACCACCGCCGCCGCCGCGCCGATCCCCGATCTGTGTACCCCGGGCCTTGCGCAGCATATAGTTGGCCTCCAGGTAATTGGATAATTCGACTCGGAAAGAGGAGCCCTCCACTTGCCAGGAAGCACTCACCTTTCCAGCGCAGTGCCAGCGCGTCGACCCGCACTCAGCAGTCTATCGCCGCGGGGCATCGGGGGCTCGCCTCAGAGAGACGAAACACACAGCGCGCGTTCAACAGTTGCTCGTATAATGAGAACCGATTTCCGCAAAATCGGTGTGAAAACTCGCGAGATATATACTCTTTGCTGTGCGTTTTATGCGATATTTTACGTTTGTTTTTTTTTTTTCCAGACGCAAGAAGTTTTTGCCTACATCTTCGGTTCCTATATTGTTTTTTGTTTTTATCTTATTTTGCAGTAAATAAAAAATAACTAGAACGCAGATGTAATCCAGGAGGTAATCTACGATATTAATTGCAATTAATGCGCACTCGACATTCTATCACTTGTCGTCGAAGCTGTAATGAACCGTCGAGTTACGCGCTCAATTAATTCGACATCGACAAGTATTTGCCACCTCGTAAACGGACGCCTACTATGTAACGATCGATCGACTATTCGACCGGGCCGAGATCTCGTTAGTATCTTAAAAGATGGTATAGTCGTATACGTGTGAAGCGCAAAACGGTGTCATGCTACAAAATCGACGACGAAAATCCCTTAACCTGGAACGGAGATCGCATCTGTCTCCCCCGTAGTCGATCTTTTCCCCTTGATACAAATCGGCGATCGGCGGATGAATCGAGTTGTCAATGCACGACCATTAATAACACTAATAACTGTCGCGAGCACGTTTTTTGGGGAGAAAAAAAGGTTGCGCGCTGGCGCGACAGAGAGAGAGAGAGGAAAAGAGAAAAAAAGAGAAAGAAAAAAAAGTGAAGAGGGAAATAGAAGAGGAGTCGCTGCACAGGTCAAAGCGCGCGGCAGATTGGCTGCAAACAACGACGACACAACAAATACTCGAGTCCTTATTGTCCCGCGCCGCTCTCCGCGCGCAGGACAACGTGTCGATGGTGCAGCTCGCGATCCCGACCACGGAAAAACTTACGGGAACCCCACCCCGCCAACGTATAAGGGTCCTCATTTTGAAAACATGTCCGCAACAATGAGGCCATTATGACGATCGTAGTTCGATCGCATTCATATACGGCGCTCTCTTTCTCTCTCTCTCTCTCTATCTCTATCTCCTTTCTTTCTCGCTTCGAGTCTCTTCCGTGTCTACCTGACGGTCAGTTGTGTGTTATATGGACCGGACCCTCGTCACGTCTTCTCGTCCGTGGCGTCTCAATACACGCGGCTACGAGCCGAGGGGTTTCTTCTCCGTCGTCGAGCGATTTTGCCGACAAAATAGACGCTGTCGTTTGCGATGATACACACAACTTTTTCGTGCATTATGCGAAGCGGCGAAACGCGAGTAGCCAACTTTGCCGGTACAACAAAACTTGCCGGTGCTTCATCGGGAAGACCCTGCGCGATCGGTTCCATAAATTAGCTCCGGAGCGTATCATTGACACCGTGAAGTCCACGGAGGACTTCATTCGCGCGCACCCCGCCCATTCTTTACACGTTGTATGTATATCCACTTCTCTCTCTCTCTCTCGTATCTATCACGATCTCGATAGTTGACAACCCTAGCAGAAGTCGCCGAATTGAAACCGGATATTGAAACAGCGATCAAACGGATGTTTTATTCTCTTCAGTGATAAACAAATTTTAATCAAAAATATTTTTTATTAAAATAGTTTTTTAGATTGCGCGTTATAAGTTTGCGAACTCTTTTGCGAGTGTCAAAACTACCTCTGCAAGAGGCCTAGAAGAGAGTCGAAACAAACAAAAAATAATTCCGAGCGCACACTCTCGGGTCTTCGCGCGAGAAATCGGGATGCGCGAGTCGAAGAAGTCAATAATCGTCGGCGAACGACCGCTACTAGTCGTAATTGATTACGTCACAAGAGGAAGACCACCCCCTTCGTGGAGAACAAGAAGGGAAAAGAGAGGTTGGACGACGTGTAAGTCGTGCGGGGGGGTGGAAGAAGTCGGACGGAGAGATGATAAATGTGCTGTCTGAGCCGTCGCGTCAGCGAGGCTCTGTTGCTCGTTTGTAAACGAGCTCCCATTTTTTTTCGCGGCTATACGCGCTGCCAAAGATATCAAACTGTCTGCGCTCATCCGAGAGCACTTTGCTCCATCGATCGTCGATTAGACTTGCTTGCTGACCGCTCGCGCGATTAGATTTTTCTTAGCGCTCGTAAGCAGGAAAAACGCAGAGCAAACACGAGACAAAAGATTTGTACAAATATTATTAATTTGCGCCGTGTGTTTGAAAGCATTTGTGTGTATAAAAAAAACGACGACTGTAGTTGGCAACAACGCAACGAATGGGAGCAGAGACGATCAGAAAAATTGTTTTAATGTTGATTTTTTTTTCTTATTTCAGTATCTCTGCGTTTTATCGCGTTATCTTGAATATACGTAGATATTGGAATTACATTACACGTCTCTCTGGCTTTTTTTTCTCTCTCTCTCTCTCTCTTTTCGTGATCGAGAAGCTGTCTTCTGGAAAACAGCTGCGTAGTTGCATAATAAGCCAACGCGCGGCACACCTACGTTGTATTTGTTGCGCGCGGAGTAAACGTGTCCTTGATTTACTTCCCGCATAAAGAATCTATAAGCGCGCCACGTTATTAGAATAGATTGATATACATTCCAGAGGTGTCGACGCCCACTTTTCTCTAATTAAGTTGAACACACGCGCAGGAGCAATGTGTCACTTACTTTTATTTGCGATGAAAAATCGTTACGATTGCAACGCGTTACATTTTTCAATCCGCAAACACGATGTAACAGATATATTTGTAAACAAAATTTTAAGATCGATAATACACAGAGAAGGTGAAAAAAGGGGGAAGGGATCAACTGAATAATGAAGAGATCCTAATAAACTAGCCCCTTCCGACTTGATATATTTAATACGAATGATACAATATCAAATCACGCGTCCTCGAGGGCCAAATGCCCACTCAAGCGCAACCCCTGGTCGCGCGCACGGTTAATACCGGCTTGCTTTAATAGCGCGATATCGCGCAACCCCCCTGCGCGCGCGTATATACACACGAACTACAATTCAAACGAACACACGTACGCGCCACACATCTTTAGAATCTCCGTCCACAGAGACACAAACGAGAAGAACTAACTACAATTCCCGACGCTCTTGTGCTCGCACATACAATGCAAGGTATAATGCAACGTAATGAGAGAAAGAGAGAAACACACTAACGCACGAAAGACGCGCGCCAGTTATTTGCGCGAGTTATTATTGCTCGTTAAGGACCGGCATTCGAAGCGCGTTTAACAATTTGCCCCTTTTCCGCTCCGAAAGCGGTGGCGGCGCGCCGCGCCGCGCTTGTTGCTCTCCTCTTCTTCTTCTCTCCCGCGCGGACTCCATTTGTTTCTTTAATTCACTGCTCCGCGCGCTTTTCGCCGATTTGCGCGAGTTCCCCCCCCCCCCTCGCGCGGTATTATCGGCAGATTCCTCTGTCGAATGAGAATTTCCACTTTCACCGTTTGCCGTCCGCGTTCTTTATGCCGTACTTTCTCGCGGGTTTAATAAAGAGGCGAAATATAAGCGGCGACTTATTAAACTTATTTAAAAAAAAAAAAAAAGAAAATAGAAACGAGCTCTTTTAATTTGTGGATTATGACGCGATCATTTTTTACGCGCGTGTGTGTGTGTGTGTGTGCAACAGTATCTCTTTAAATCGAAAAAGGTCCTCTTCGTGCGATAGACGCTTGCGCGATTCTCGCGCCAGGCCCATTTTCGAAAGTCAATCGACCGTAAGCTCCCGCGCGCGCGCGCGCGCGCTCGTAAATCTCCCTTGTATAACCCTCCGGGTGTGTGCCAACCGACGCGCCGAATTAGCGTCGACGAGAAGTTTTTGACGAGCAACGTTGCTTTTCCTAACCGACCCCCTCCCTTCTTCCTCGAAGAGCAAAGGCTGCGTTTGCAACATATTCCGTTCTGGTTCGATGGTAGTTTCCGATCAGTATTTCGCGAACATGAGAATCCGATGTTTTGCATTTTGTTTGTTCAGTGGGTTCGGTAGTTTTGGGAATTTAGAAACACACACAGAAACGTTTCCACGACATGTTTGTATTTTGTTTGTGTACAAAGTTTCTTTCACTACCAACATTTTCGAAACAAAATTGGGGCACATTTTTTCAAGATTGTTTTATTCTTTAACTTCACCTGTACGTTGAAAATGTGTGTGTGTGTGTGTGTGTGTGTGTGTGAGACAGAATTTTTCCACCACCAAAAAATTGGGGCGTGGCGTTCTTAGGAATCACCTTCGAGTGCAGCTTTTGCGCGCGCGGCGATCGCGGGAATATAAAATATCTACGCGAGGGGACACTTTTCGTCCCGGCACTCCTCTCTTCAGTGTTCCCGAGACGACGGCGTGTGTGTCTGCCTTGTCATCGGCACAATGAGTCCGAGATTATCTACGATGAGATTCGCTGACGTTACGACGCTCCGCGGCCAACCCCCTGCGCACGTCCTCCGCCCCTTCGTTGCTCCCTTCGCGAGACGAGAAAAGAAAGAGCCCGCGTCGTAGTCTTCTTCTCTCCGCTCTCCGGGTTTCCGGGGATGAGTCGAAAGGGGAGGAGGGAAAATACATGATCTATGGTGACAGCGGTATTGTTCGTCGAAACGCGAAAAGTCTTCGGAGGCGGTGGAGCGTTTGAATTTTTCACACTCCTTACGGTGAACATTCACAGAGAAAAGAGCGGGGGTTAGGAGAAAGGAGAATAATTCAGGGAAAAAAAACTAAAATTTTGTAATTTACTGTGTATCGTTATTCTTTAATTTATTTCTCTCGTTTCTCGAAGATGTGGTGGTTCTCCGAAGTGAGTTAGAAAATGAAAACTAAGTGCACGAAGAAGAGAGACATGAGATATCCATCCGTTTACAGGACACAGCGGGGTAAACCAGCTGGGGGGTGTCTTCGTCGGCGGTCGACCGCTTCCGGACTCGACGCGGCAAAAGATCGTCGAGCTCGCGCATTCGGGCGCGCGACCATGCGACATCTCCAGGATACTGCAGGTCAGCAACGGCTGCGTCTCCAAGATCCTCGGAAGGTTGGTTGCAATATTGCTTGCTGCGTGTAAACACACACACACACACACTCACGCTTTAAATTTCTGACTAAATTATCGCTTGCAAATTACCAAATATTTCAAATAAATATTTTTTTGCTAATTTTATATACATTCAACATATGAAAAGAACAAGTATAGAACGATCGTTTGGTAAATTACAAAACAAAAAAAACATATAATCTAGGAAATAACAGAAATATTTACAAACAATTAGGAAACGTATAATACTAGGTAATGCATTTCGAGCTTTTATTTGACGTTTTCATCAGTTGCAAGATTAATGATGACAACAAGAAACAGTTTAGAGATTGTTGCAACAATACAGGGAATAAAAAAACGCATGATGTAATTATTACAATATTCACACAAATCTTGGAAAATAACGTTTTTTAGATGAAGACTCTAAGAGCTCGAAAAGTGTAATTGAATTGTGTAATATATTTCTAATTTTTTAAATATTTTTAACATTTTATTTTTGTTTGGAACTGACCCATTGAGATTGTTATCTTGTATGTTTTTATTGAACAATTAATTTTTTATAAAAAAGAGATAAAAGAGGAGAGAAATAATAAGGGTTGTTTGAAGATACAATTCAATATATATATATATATACTTGACACACTTTATTTGTGCACAAAATTCTACGAAAAGTGCAATGTAATTTCTTGCAAAAGCAATTTTGACGAGATCGCGCATTCTTACCGCATTGTACCGCAAATTATTATTATTGTAGGTACTATGAGACCGGATCTATCAGGCCCAGAGCCATAGGCGGCAGCAAACCGCGCGTAGCAACGGCGGAGGTTGTCAGCAAGATCTCGCTTTACAAGAGCGAGTGCCCGTCGATTTTCGCGTGGGAGATCCGGGATCGTTTGTTGCAGGAGGGCGTGTGCACGAACGACAACATTCCGAGCGTAAGTACGAGAAGTACCACTACATTTTGTTCTCTATAATTTATTCTTTTTCTACGCTCATATCGAACTAACTGTCTTTGCTTGTTACGATCGTGTATCGATCAAGTCTCTTACAGCTCGCCGATCGATTAAATTAACTCGCGATCATTAAACGACGAATGTTTTCGCGGGATAATCGGTGTCGCGCGCCGGCAACAACAAAGCGTGTCGCAAAACAACCGTAATGGAGCCTGACTTTTGGCTCTCTGGCGGGCGGACGATGTAAACGCGCAGGCGTATATTGTCAACGAAGGGAGAGAGAGAGAGAGAGAGCTTTGTCTACTCATACAAAACAGGGAACCGCATTTACATAGATAGCGCGAGTTACAGGATGGGGGATGGAAATCAGTTTTCCGTGGGGCGGCGGCTGGTTGTACCAGAGAGAGGATGTTTATGCGAGCCGATAGACTCGGGCGGGCGCGCGACCGACCCAGAACGACGTACAAACTCCTCCCTCTTGTCGTGGCGCGGCTGATGTTGTTAACACGACGCGGTTAATCGCGCAAACGAATGACAGACGATTTGGCATTTAACCGGTTCCGCCCCGGGGGAGGCAAACTCTCCCCTAACGTCACAGTTTTTCCTACCTCGCAATCGCGCACGCCACTCTCCGCTTTCATACTAAAGTTTCACTCTTCCGCGTTTTCCATTGTAACACATATTAACGCACATGAATATTAATTTAAATCAGTGTTTCTCTTTCCAGTACAACGCGAGAAGACAAAGTTTTATCCGTTCTCGTTATTTGTTGCAGGCAGTAAAGTTTGTCAGAAAAATCGAGAAAATTGAAGCGTTTTTTTTTTTTTTTTTTTTATCTGTAAAAGCAAGCTCGGATGATGTGCCTGTTGATTGGCAGCACTTACGTTTGACAACGAAACATCTCTCTCCCGGAAGGGACCGTGTTAAAATACCGATTTCTGAGAAATCAATTAAGAGATTGCTCGAAAATGAGCGACGCGCGCGGATCAAAAGAAAATTTCTTGACGTTTCTTTTTTACTTTTATTTTTCTTCCTCTCTGAAAAGTAGAGGACCTTCTTTCTCTCTCTCTCTCTTTCCTTTTTCCCGCGTGTACGTTTGGTGTTCTCGACGGCGCGGGGTTGGTTCCTCCGGTACACGGCGGCACCGTTGCCATGGATATTTGCATGCGTCCAATAAACGGTGGCTAAGGGGCTCTCGACTCGCTTAGGGTAAAAAGCGAAAGAGGGTCGCTAAATTCTACCCTCTTCCTCTCCCGCGCGCATCGGCCTGCGTCGCCCTTCTTCTCCTCGTTCTGCTCGTCTTCCCTTGTTCGCCCTCGCGTCGTCTTCGCAGCAGCGCTGAGGACATACGCGCGGGCCACCCTCACTAAAGAAGCCGCAAGAGAGAGAGAGAGAGAGAGAGAGAGAGAGAGAGAGAGAGAGAGTGAGGGTAAGAGAAGAGGAGGAGGAAGAGGAAAGATGACGACACAGCCGACGGCATTCTTATCGACGTGAGAAAAAAAGAAGTGTCAAAGCTTGCCCTTTGCACGAACGAAAGCCGGCGAGAGAGAGAGAGAGAGTTTATCCCCGGCTTTCCCTTTCCCGAAAATTTCAGTGTCCACTGAAGCGCGCGCGGTCCGTAATGAAGCGATTTACGAAAGGTGAGATAATTTTATTGCGCGATATGACAGCAACTCATTTTTGAAGAAGAAAAAATAAATTTATCTCGGAAAGACACTTGGAACACACTGGACTAAAAGTTTCTCTTCGCTCGTTCTCTCGTTGTTTTCCAACGCTCGAATTCGTTCGAACGTATCTTCGTTTTTCGTTCCGAGAACCTTGTTGGCGCAACAATTCTCGAGCGGACTGTACGTAATGGAATATTACACGGGCCATTAAAGAAACGTTAATCTTGCCCACAACAAGTTCAGAAGCACTGCTAGCAGGATGCTCAAACGCGGTCGAGATTACACGCCGGCTTTGATCCTCCAACGCGCCCGGGGGCGCCGCGCTTCGAAGAGAGAGAGAGAGAGAGAGAGTCCGCAAGCTCCTGTAATTTGTTAAAACGCGAAATTCTGTGACGTCGCTGTTTGTGTCGGCGCCTCGTTACCGCCGCTTAAAACGTTTACGAGTCACGCGCCGCGCTTTGACGACTCACCGTAATGCGGTTATTTAAACTTGAGCGTAGGTTTTTTTGCGTGAGTTTTTTTTTCTTTATCGGAGTATTAAAAATTTTGTGAACGTCTTATTAAGTAATCGAAGAATATTTTTTTTTTTTTTTTTTTTTATAAAGAAACAAGTTGAAAATGTCTTCAAACGCGTTACGGGATATTCGCAAACTTTCGAAATCTCGAGAGCGGAGGTACTCGATCTTTCGACTTTTGTCTGACGGGGAGCAAAATAACTTGGCGAACGGGATTGATTCGAAAAACGTTTCTGCTCATCTTCCGCGGACCGCCTGTACGTGTCCGTTCATGCGCGGCCGTGTGTGCATATAGCAGACGACGACGACGACGACGACGACGACGAGAGATTCAGGAAAGGAGAGAGAGACAAAAAAGGACGGGGAGACGGAGAAGGGAAGAGGAGACGGGAAAGAAAAAGGAGGTACGAAACGAAACGAAGGAACGTATTCCAGGCGAACCGTGGTGATTGGGGGAAATTTCATTATTCTCAGACATTACCCCCGTTATTGTAATGCCATCAAATTGGATACGCTTCGTACACCCTGCGGAACGGGCGGAATATCTCTCGGTCTTCTTCCTCTTTCGCGAGTCTTTCTCTCTTTCTCTCCCTCTCCTTCCGTTCTCCTCGCGAAAACGCTGGAATAAAGCTTGTCCTGTTGCGGACTCTGTCTCTCTCTCTCTCTCTTATCAACATTATCCCCCGGTACATATTCGTCCCGATTCGGCTAAACAAATTCAGAAGTTATTGAAACATAAATTGCTACGTACTTTTTTTCTCCCCGACGAAATATGTTTTGCATGAACGTGAGTTTCCGTTTAGAAGAATTTTATTTTCGTTTATTTATTTCTCTCAACAATTCGAGGAAATCTAATTGTTCGAATCTCGGTCGTAAACGCGCGCGCGCGCGCGCGCAATAATCGGATTAAATAAAATTACGTGAGAGCAACAGTTTTGTGTGCAAACGGGCGCTTGATCGGGCGTTCGTTCTCTTCCGCGAGAAAGTCGAACGCGCGCGCGGAATTGTCGAATCGAGCCAATGGCTCGACAAACCAGTAAAGCCCCGCAGGACGCGGAGACGGATTCGAAATGTCCTGCGGAGCCCGCGCTATCCGTTTCGTCGTGGAATACCCGTTTTCGGTACCCGCCGGATTTGAATCTGGCACCCAGCGTGGCGGACGCGTTATTGGTTTACTCGCGCCACTGGCTCCGAGATGCCGAGCCAGCGGTTCTCATTCGACAGCGAGAAGAATTATCACCGTTCGTGCCCGAATCGCTATTGTTATTTTTTTTTTTTTTTTTTTTTTTCAGTTTTTACCAAAGAAGACATTTAAGAAGTAAAATTTTTTCTTGTATAAGCAATTGTGTATGTTTATTTTATAACTAATAAAGGTCTTTTATCGATCTTTGAAGAAATTAAATAGTACACGTGTTGTCTTTCAAGTTTTTTTAATAGGAGCGTCACTGCAAAACGAAAGATTTTATTGGTTGAACCAACCAACACGACCATGAGTGTTCCATTCCAAAAGTCAAACTTATTATATATCGCGTACGTCGTTCTCTAAGAAATCGGATGTTTGGCTAAAATTCCAATTTATTGCCAAATTGTCGCAATTCTTCTCCCATATACACACACACACACACATTCTCAGAATCTCGTTTGAACTGACATTGATACACATTTTGAATTTTTGATCCTCGAAGCTATCGGTGGTTTTGCGAAGCGATTTTTTTCCGGACGATTCTATTTGTCCGACTTGTGTTTTGGTGTCTCGGGTGTGACAACATTCGTCATTCGCGGAGAACTCGCTGTCAAGTGAGAGAGGAGCGCCGCTGGCGCGGACGAGATTACATTTGTCGAGGTGGCCAGCGCCGTCGTTCCGGCTGGTCCCAGGCAGTCCGATCCGGGGGATTGGATGTCAATGCTGCTGCGCCACCACCGCCGTCGCCGCCGCCGCCGCCGCCGCCACAGCCACCCAACCCTTTTAGTACGCGAAATCGCGCGATATACGGGCCCGCGCCAGTCGGGCCGATCCCATTCCGCCGATCCAAGGGTGGAAAATCACGGACGCCACCGAGAGAATCGAGAACGGAGAGGGAGAGAGAGAGAGAAAGAGAGAGAGAGAGAGAGAGGATGGGTTTCCCGAACAGTGGCCGAGCGTGTCCCTGTAATTAATAGTCGCCGACCGTCGACGGACGAAGCGGGAATCGAGTTTACACACTGTATCTGCGTGTTGGAGCGAAGCGGACGATTGTTTAAGCGAGTGGTCATCCTTCCCTTCAGTCACGTATCCGTCTATTTGCTCCAGAAGAACAGAACACTCCCGATTAAATAGTATTTCACTATATATATATAATAATATTTCACTAGCGTATATATGAATCACAATTATACGTTACGAGTATTGTGTCGACGCTTAAAGAGATCGATTAGCGGACGAGCGAAGGTTTATGACGACTCTAAAATTTTTTTATTTGCCAAAGCAATTAAATTAGCATATAAATTTCCCATCGGACGCCCGATTCTATTTCGTTACGAAGTACCGACCTCAAATTCATGGACATAGGAAATTAATTCCACGCGGCACCGTCCAACTCCGACGGTCGGGTGATTAAAAGGAACGTCCGCTACGCGCGCGGAAGAAAAAGACTTCAGCGACGAGAAGGATTCGTTCTCGGCCAAGGGAGAAACGCGAAAAGGTATAGTGGGCATCGGGAAAGAGAAGAGCGGGAGGGGTGAAAGGGAAAAGAAGGAAGACTCCGGGGGAGGATGAAGGGTCAAGGGGGTGCGAGAGAGTGGAAGTTAGTGGCGGCTCGGT